CTATTTGACTAAGGGAAAACTCCTCTGACGACCCGAAAGAAGCGATCGTTGTCAGACGGAGAGCTTGCTCATAAGTTTTGGTCGAAGGAAAACTTTACAAAAGGGGACTTTCCATTCAACTTCTCAAATGCGTTGACTGAAGCGGGGCAGAGCGCGTCTTTCTCGAAATCCATGAGGGCATCAGCGGCCAACATCTATGCGGGAGATCCCTCGCGAGAAAAGCCTTGCGGCCTGGGCGTCGTCCATGGCCAACTGAAAACTAGAAACCAGCTCGGCCCAAGTCTTTAGATCCTTAGTATCCTCCGGATCGTCTTCAGCAGGCGTAATCTCGGCAGTCAGGGCCGCCACCTTTCCCTCAAGGTCCCTTTTTTCGAGCAAGAGAACCTTGCGTTCCTCGGAGAGCCTTCCCGATTCTTCCTCAAACAACTTCAAGGCTTTATCTTTCTCGACCAAGGCTTTCTCGCTCGTAGCCAGCTTGGCCCGAAGGTTCTTCATCTTTGTCTCCTGAGAGGAACTCCCCTCGGTGTAAGCGACCTCTATCTCCAAGATCTGCATCATACCACCAGCGTCTTGCGCCAGCATTGCCCTCTTCTTCGGGCATCCCATTCCCTCGAGATGGAGAGATTTGGCCCAGGGAAGACGGAGAGCCGCGCCCTCGAAAAAAAACTTCTCCAGCCAACAGGAAGGCAGGTCGTATGTTCCTTTCCCTTTTTCACCGGTCAGGTCAACACTCCCCTTGGCTTGCGGCCTCTTCGCCTTCGAGGAAACAACACTGGGGGGAAAGAGTGACTGTAGCCTGGGCCGAAGATGAGTCTCCCGACCCCGAGGAAAGAGCTGGTCCCGAACCATTCTGTGCATCCTTCAGGACCATCCTCGCTCTGGCAGCGAGAGTCTTAGTCAAGCGCTCTTGAGCAGGATTCATGCTCTCTGCAAAACAAACAAAAAGAAACATAGTCAGTAAACGAGGAGTCAAATAAACGACGACCACTTACTACTATTAGGAACATATATATATATATATATATATATATATATATATATATATATATATATATATATATATATATATATATATATATATATATATATATATATATATATATATATATATATATATATATATATATATATATCCAAGTATCTAGCGGGGTCCCTGCTTCCAAGGAGCTCTTTGACGTATATGAGGCCCGACTCGTATACGGGCTCCCCATTTTTGTCCAACATAGGTATACCTCCCCACCAACTCGCTGGACTCGAGGGATCTGAGCCACGAACGCGGTCAGGGCAGCGAAGCTCTCCAGATCCTCGTCTCCAAGCTCCCCTTCTCTCCACCATGTATAACGACCATTCCTCTTACCCCCCCCCCCCCTCGTGAGTGTACACGTCCGTAAAGACATCCTCCTGGTGCTCATAAAAATACGACAGCCAGTCCCAGGGGTCGCTCGCGACCCAGTTCCGAGGTTCCTCCTCACTCTCAGGAGGAAACAGACTACCCTGGTCGGCGAAATTAATCTCCACGTCGCCCCCTCCCGTTTGATGTTCCATTTGATTTGCGTATCCCCGAAAATTTCCAGGATGCTCGACGAACTACTTGTCCTGTCTGAGGAACTTCCCGAGGACTGTGTAGATTCTCTCGAAACGTCGACCCGGTAATTATCTGCCATAGCACCTGAAAAGCAAAGGAAAAAGATGAGCTTGACATCAATTCCAGAACCATCCTTCCACTGTTAAACAAGCGAAAGGGCGCTGGGACACGAGGATCGTATCCCCGACTAGAACCCTAACTGAGGCGTATCAACGGGCAAGAGTTGCAGAAAATGCCCTAAGCCCTAATGAGTCGTCTACGACACACCATGAGGTCCCCGAGGAGACTCCATGGCGCATTCGGCGATTCTAAACCACAAAAACGCCGTATACCGCTAACACTCTCCAATGGCATCATCGTAAATGAAACCTTAATTCCTAACCGCATGCATCTCTATAAAGTAAAAAAGAGAAAATGCAAACTACTGAGAGCGAACAACAATGGATGATTAGAAACTTACCAGTTAATAGTAGAAGAAAGGGTGGAAGTAAGCAGCTGCGAGCAGGAAAATTCAAGTGAACAACGGTGGCCGACAGTCGAGCTAATGCGAGTAGTTGAGAGAGAAGACGAAAAATACTAAACGCCCTGTTCCTCTCGTATTTATAGCTGAAACAATCCGCGCGTACAAGACACACGTCTGGGGAACCCTAGGGTTGTCATCATTACACCCTAGCCCTAGGTCATCATTGCGCCGCTTCGCCAACATGCTACCTCTCCAAATTCAAAGGTCCTAACGACCAACTCCTCGTCTCCCCCGCGAGAAAGACGTAACGAGAAACGCCCATTTACCCGTAAGACACGCCCCTTCCTCGAGCAGGTGTTAAAGTCATCACTATCGTACCCAGAAGCAACGACTTGGGGGGGCTACTGTTATGGACTGGCCCGACAGCTTGAATGGGCCTAGTCTAGACCTTTCCTTTGGTGTGGCCCGCACGATCATGACCCGGATTGCCCGCTACATGTCGGGCAATGTCTGCCATTTGCCCTCACGAACCAGTATTGGCCCATGATGATCGAGGAGCATCCTCTCAGCCTGCTCGACATCAACGTCGTGCAGGCCACCAGGAACCAACCAGAGAGATGTTTGTAACTGACCCCCTCATCGGGACCAATGGCTAGTTACGAGCACGTCTGCCTGATTTGACCAAGTCCTGGCAGTTACCTGATTTCACGGACCCGCATATCCAGACGTGAAATCAGGAACCAATGACCACGCGCCAGAGACATTATATATACCGTCACACTTGTGAGGACCAGGTATCGAATATTCACTATTCAACACCTAATATTTTGCTTGTATCTCTTTATTACCACTCTTACTTGATCGTCAGAGTGCCTTGCAGATACAACCCATTTTTCTCTTCGACATCACAACCCAACTACAAATCATCTTCCGACCACTTCTCTAGTTCTGATCAACCGATAAAATCAGTTAAGTTCTAGATTTTCTTTCTAATAACTTATCTCTTAAGAATATATTGCTAAGACTTAGTAATTAAGGAACAAATAAAATATCTAATTAATAGCTTCTAGTCTCTATTTTAAATTCTAGAACTTTCTTCGTTTAATTCTTACAATTATTGGAGAAGACCAATAAAACAATTCATAGGTTTATTTATGGGTTTAAAGATCTTCAAATAAATAAATAAAATGGCAAGTCCCTCCTTCCAAGTATTGGAAGAAAGTGGCGCTTCCCTCTATTGTGGGGATAGGCGTGTACAATTGATCAGTTTAAATTGAAATCGAATTAAAATTTTAAATCTGAAGTAAATCACTGTTTCGTTATTAAGGTCTGATTCTAATGAATAAAATTTTAGTTTTTGACGGATTCGATTTAATCAATTTAACAAGTAAATTGGATGGATTTGATTAATTAATATTATTAAAATAAATCTATAAAAATTACTCATCTTTTATAAAACTCATAAATATTCATCTTTTAATTTTTTTTATAAATACTATCAAAATTTGACAATAACTTAAAAGAACTATTTTTTTATTACTGAAAAAACGTAAATATCACGTTATAAAATTTTAAATATCATTTTATATTAATTTATTCATTATCATACTTTAAATGACAAATTAAATAATACATAAAATTTTAAATATCATTTGATATTAATTTATTCATTATCATACTTTAAATGACAAATTAAATAATACTCAAAATTTTATATTATATATCTTATATTTTTATGAATATATAATGCCACCATTAAATTATACAAATGACAATAATTTGATAATATTATGAACCTACTTTTATAATGTCAAAGTAATAAAAAATTATAAAATAAATATTTGTTAAACTAAATTCGATTTTCAACCGATCCAAAATAATTATCCGAGTCCGACCAAACAACCCTATAATACTCAAATTAAATAATTTGATGAACCCAACACCTGATCCGATCCATTTGCTCAAAAAAAACAATGAATCGATCGATTTAGATCAGTTTGTCCATCCCTAATAGGGGCCATGGCCTTGGTTACTTGATTCTTATCCACGTGACTTAGATACGCCACGTTAGCTTACATTTTTTATCTCAATTTTATCTCATATCTTAATTAAGCTAAAAAAAATAACTAGCTTTTAAGCTATTTTAAATTACCTCCAAACTTTTGCCAAAACATCCTACTTCTCATTAAACTATTTTTAATTTACTTTAATAAACTTATACGCAATCTTTAAAATTTGAATGAGTGGAACTCATTGATCATTTGCTTAACCTCCTTAATGACTTGTGATCTCGCTTCAAAAGACCTCCAAAGTTACAAGAACTTCTTCCCATTACATAAATCATCCTATCGAACTTAAATTTATCGCTTAATCTTTACCTCTAGGCTGAAATTAAAAGCATAATAAGGAAAGGGGCATAATTAAATAACAGTAAGTAATGAGTACAAAACAAAATTGTTCATAATGAAATACCTAGAACATAAGTTAACTCCTATGCTATCAGACTAAACAAAGGCACATGAAATACTAACATAAGTTAAGAACATTAAAAATACTAGGATGATTTCATAACCTTAAAAGACTACTTCGTACAAAATTTTGGATAAAACCAATCTTCATGATGTTCATAACCTTAAAAGACTACTTCTCTGCACTGTCGACACTTTCTATGTACACTATTCCGTAAATGTCATTCGGCCCATCTATGGCCGATAAGGTCTCTATCAGCAACAAAAAGGAAGTTGGTCCTCTGAACTCCACTATATCCATCACCAGGGAAAGATGTATATATGTCAGATCTTTTAGAGTATGCCAAAAGAATCATGTGGCATCAAAGGATGCTGTAATTTACTAGCCCATTGGTTATGTTAAGAACATTCAATGAGTACTGCACCATTACAACACCAACAATGATGTCCATAGTGGCATTAATCAGACATGCAAACTTTGCTTTCAAAGTAAGTCTTCTGTGCCTGTCAACTTGGCATATTCATCCTCATCGATGACTCCTTTCTTCAATTTCTTCAACAAGCGGTATTCTTGTGTCAACTCTTCCTCATCTGCAACAGTCTGCTGGGCACGTCTCTGTTTGGCTGTTTTCTTCCTCATGACATCGGGTACATTGGGAGTTTTCTTTAGCTTTTTAGGCTTTGGCTCTTTCTCTTTGGCTTCTTTCTTTGTTTGCAGATTTTTCTTCCTTTGTTTCTCCCTTGATTTATCCCTATAAAATTGAAGTTTTAAGCCAGCAGCACATTTGAAAGAACAGCGCCAAAGTGTACAAAGAAGGGTTTTTTATAAGAAAAAAACCTCATATTTATTGATCAAAATTCAAATGAGACAAGTACATGTTGTTTTTTGACCGAGTTAAAAAGAGTAGTTAAGTTAGAAGGGCAATAGACAGACAGTATGAATATGGGATATTGTCACCCCTCTTCAAAAGGGAATTGGATAATCCCTCAATCAAGATCAATGTACAAATAACGCAATAGAAAGGCTTCCTAATACCTCCCCACTTCATAGTATTCTTAAAGAATAAGTTTCCAACCATGACTCAAGAAAATAGGGAGAACTTTCATTGAAGCTTGAAAAAGAAGCTATCCAATTCAATTTTGATTTTCATACCCAATCTCAAGCCCAATTTGAAATACAATTAAAATAAATGTTTTGATAGTATAATTATAAATTTATAATTTTATAAGAGCCACTTTTTTCTCCACAACACCATGATTGTTAAGCTTGTGGCGGCCACCATGGCGCTACGAAGCAAAGCCCGCACACCACAGCTTTTCCATGGCGCTATGTTGAAATCCCACAATCCACCATGACTCCGCCATAACCACAGTTTGGTAACACTGCTTGTCATGGACATTTAAGAGTGTCTCTAGGATCAGATAAGTCGGAGTTTGATCTATGCCACATCTATTTCTTGAAAGAAAAAAGATTAAATTTCACCACAAGTTTGGGTGGCCCTCTGAATTGTCCATACATCAAGCATAACAGGCTCAGACTCTCAAGACTCAATGTGGGTTAGATATGGGCCTGTTTGTTTATGATTCTTGAATAACCATTTTTTATGTTTTAGTTATGCCTGTGTAAGCTTTTTCTAGAAACCATTGTTAAAAAAATGATTTTTAAGTTTCAAGTGAAGGAGCTATTTTGATTAACTTTTGAAGAAAATATATTTTGATAAAAAGGAGGAAGAAAAACATCATTTGTAGTGTCTATGTTTTTTCAACCATATTAAGAAAAGCTATTTTAACATGCATAATTTTTCAACAGGGATGTTCTTTTAACCATAGTTAATGTTTTTATTAAATATCTAAAGAATAATAATCTTCATATTAATTATATCAAAAATAATTTTCAGAATCCTAAACAAACAGGCCCATAATAAGCTCATTCGCGAGCTTTTACCTTGTTGAAGATATGGACAATGGAAAGGGCCACCTAATAAGCTCATTCATGTGCATTCATCTTGCAGAAGACATGGGTTTTAGATTAAGGAGGTGAGAGAAAGAATAAATAGTAGTGTAAAGTTATGACTTATGATTGAAGATTTGATGATAATATCAATATGCCCATTCTAAAAGGTTAAGCACTAACCCCTGTTTATAGGACTCCTAATGGAATAGGAAAACAAATCATAATAGTAACAAAGTAATATAGAAACTAATCTTAAGATATACTCTAAGATGAAAAACTAATCTCATGAGACAATTCAAGATGATGAGAACTTGTTAAATAGCAGCTATATTATAGCAGAATTTGGTTAAACGGCTATTGTTCTGTGATACACTATTTAGTACATAAGGTTGCCAAATGGCGGCCATGGTGGCCCTATAGGCCATATCACTACTACGTAGAAACTTTTTAACATTATGTTATTTCACGCTATCTATAATTGACAACAATGATGTGAAGATATTACAAGATACTGCCTCTGTCCCACAATGAGTGACTCATTTGTAAAATAAAATTGTCCAAAACCGAATGACTCTTTTCAATTTCCAATGAAATATTAATTACTTTTTTTCCAATTCTACCCTCTAATTAATTAATACTACTTTCATCATTCTCAATAAGGGGTACTTAAGTAAAATCACTATTCTCTCGCTTTCATTTATACATTTTTCTTAATCTGTGTGAAATGGTCAATTGGATCACTCATTGTGGGAGAGGGAGTAATTTTATTATATTTCAACACATTTATCATATTTTAACACAATTTATCAGCTTAAGCTTTTTAGAATTATTGACAATTAGAAAGGTTACAACAACAACAACAACTACGCCTTATCCCACTAGGTGGGGACAATTAGAAAGGTTATTCTATTAAAATGTATTTACCTGAACTTAATGTCCTCGAAATTGATATCTTTAACAGGTTCAAATCCCTCGGTAGATAGTGAGTGGCGTTTTACCTCCGGCACTAAAGGAAGTTGCAATAAGCCATGTCCCGTGGCTAACTTGCCAATTTCAAGTTCTTTCCACCTGTAAGAATGAGAAGCGTTCAACAATAATGATGTTTCATCATTGAGTGACAGCAAAATTATATGCCTACGTTACTCACCTGAAAATATAAGAGCAATGATGCTCTTTATAAGCACGAATGTAAGAAACAAATGCCCTGACTCCCTTCTCCATGACATCGCGATCTTTTGTTGCCGCAGAACGAATCTAAAACAAGTTTTAAGTAGTTCAGATGTCAAATAACTACTATTACTATTTATTAACAGCCATAACAAATGGACCCTCTAATTGCATCCATAAAACCTGTCAACGCGAGAAACTAAGATAATAAAGGCCGAGAACAAACCTCAGGAATAACATCAGGTACATTGTCAGAGCATGCTCTTTCTTGAAGTGGAACTCTTCTTATACGCAAGAATTCTACATAAGATTCCTCCTACACATTTGCATAAAAAGGATAAACTTAAAGAATCTTAGGTATATTATTAAAAGGTACTGCAGCATGATACTAGAAAACACACCTTTGGTAGTAAGAAGATAACAGCATGTCCTTGCTTACCCAGCCGAGCAGTTCGACCAGCCCTATGAACGAAAACATTTGGGTCTTGAGGAGGATCATACTGTGCAATAACAGAGATTGTATTAATTAACTGCATTTGATATAAATATGTTCCAATGGTAAATATGAATATGAAGAAACATTTGAGACATGATGTATTTTTAAATTAGGCAAAAGAGCGAGAGAAAATGAAACACAGTGGTCAATAGAAAGTAGCAACTACATTGTCACAGAGCTACCTGCACTATACAGTCTACGCCAGGTATGTCAAGTCCACGTGCTGCAACATCCGTACACAGAAGAATTCCATTTGAGAGGGATGTAAATGAAGCTAGTGCCTTCTGCCTCACAGTCTATATGGAAAATAAATAACCAAACAAGTATACAATGATTCTCGACAATAATAATGGATGGTAAGAAAAAGAATGCTAGAGTAATACACTCCAATATTAATAAATGCTTAGTCACTAATAGTCAAACATATACCTGCTTCATCTTTCCATGAAGGGAAATCAAGGAGAAGCCTTTCAAAACAGAAAGGCGAGGAAGAACAACTCCCCAATAGTCAACACAAGCACAAGTCATGAAATATCTGCATTAGGGTAAAAATGATGTTTTGAGTATGATAAAATATTCATCAACGACACAAATTACACAATTGATTATTAACATTGTGTCTTACATCATAATTTTTTTTGAGCGGTTCTTAATAAGGAAATCTACTAGCTGCGACGGCTTCTTATCAGCCTCACATTCCAAGTACTGCAAGCTCAAAAGTAAAATAAGAGTATGAGCACGAAAAAATGATGAGCATAAACGAAACCACTAGCCAAAAAAGTCACATCTAATACCTCGATGTGAAGACCTGAAGGTGTCTTTGAAGATTCTAGTTGCGTTGATGCTGCAGCACCATTTGCTGTTTTTGTTTCCGCTCGAACTTCGACCCTCACAGGATTCCTCAATCCTGCTTTGGCAAGCTCTTCCACAGCCTGAGTTTGAGTAGCAGAGAATAAGCCAGTCCTTCGAAGCTTAGGTAACTGAGTTATGATAGCATTTATCTGCTTCTGGAATCCCATATCTAAGAGTCTATCCGCCTCATCCAAAATCAAAATCTGCAGACAAAATAACAATCAAACCCCTACTCTTACAAACACACAAATACCGCAAAATATAAGGAATCTTAAAGCATGAAACTACTACCTCAAAACTTTTGAAATTCATAATATCCATCCTATTCATAATGTCGTGTAATCGACCCGGCGTGCCAATCAATACATTTGCACCTTCTTCCTCAATTATACGCATGTCTGTTTTTACTTCGACTCCGCCGACGAGTAGCATTGACTTAACATTGGGTAAGGTTGAAATAAAAGGTTGTGCAACATGATATATTTGGGATGCTAGTTCCCTTGTAGGAGATATAATTATCCCCAATACCTACAAAATAACGAAAAGCTTCATAATTTTTAACCTAAGCTCAATAAATAAACAAGAGCAATAAGTGGAATGAGGAGAGGGAGTAACCAACCTGGTGAGGTTTGGGATTGGAAGATGAGCGACGGAGAATCTCGACAAGTGGAATGACGAAAGCTAGGGTTTTGCCTGAACCGGTGGCGGCGTCGACGGCGACGTCTTTGAAGCTGCAGAGTAAGGGAATGGTGGCGGCTTGAACGGGGGTGCAGAAATCGAAGGCGGAGTCTGTGAGGGCTTGGAGTACGGGATCGGAAAGTGGAGGTTTGAGCTCGGAGAAGCGGGTGCTTGTTAGTGCTTTGTTGGGGAACTCAGAATCCATGGCTATGCAACTCTGCGCCGTTCAGAATCTCTCTGTATGTTTTGTTTTTTTATGCTTTTGATGTTTGTTGTTTTAAGGCTTATGATGTTTGTTGGTTTTATGCATCTCTATAATTACGAGGGGTTTCTTTATGCACCCCCTTAAGTCTTTTTATAGGTTTTTGACGTAATTTCCTTAATATTCCCTGAATTTGAATTTGGTATGCATATCTGAATTAATTAAATATTTTATTTTTAGGATATTTTTTTATATTTATATTCAAATATATCTAATATTTCATTTTTAGAGGATTTTTGAATATGTATATCCGAATAAATTCTTTAATTTAAGTTCACAGTGCTTTCGGATATACATATTTTAATTCTATTAATATACACAAAATTTCGAAACAAAATATGTCTTTCTCATTTTGAAATTCTGGCTGCAGATACCCAATGTCACGTTCAATGTTATGACACCGTATCTGACTTTCTATAAGACAGTAAATACAAAAACAGTAAAGAACACAGTCAATTGTTTACCCAGTTCAGTGTGCAACAACACCTACTCTGGGGGCTACCAAGCCAGGGAGGAAATCCACTATAAGAGATATTAATTCAGGAATAAACCAACGAGTTTATCTCCTTCACTTAAGACCTACCCAATGCAACTTCAATCTAAGTACAACTTAAACCTGAGTTCCTACTCACTCCCCCTCAATCACAACAGTGATACTTAAAACAGTTGACTAATGAATTGATGAAGACACTCTTCAAAACATACACTTGATTATGCTTCACAGCTTTTTAATCAAGCAACACAAACACTCTTGCTTCACAGCTTTGAGTGATACATAAACCTAACTTGACTTTGCTTCAAAGCTTCAGTCAAGAGACACAAAAACACTCTTGCTTCAAAGCTTTAAGTGATACACAACCCTTACAATTAAAGCCTATTCCAAGTCACTTATCACAATGATACTTGCTTGGATTACAATAGATAAAACTATACAGCTTCTAAATGATCTTCTGTCCAAAAGGGATTGCTTCCAAAACAGCAGCTCTGTTGAATATATAGCAGCTGCATCTTCAGTTAGGGTTTCCACAAAAAGCTAGGGTTAATTCCGTTTGACCTTAAGACTAGGTCACAGGACTTTATCAACCAGGTTAGGGTTGAGCTAGGTTAACCCCAAGTCCACGAGATTTTCTGTTCTGGAAAGACTGAGTCATTTTCCTGAAAAAACTCAGAATTACCCAAACTGCATAACTGTTAGTTCAGAACAGGATGTCTTAACATTTGTTATGACATCTGAAAACCTGTCTACTGATTTAGGTAAATGTGATCTTTTTGCAAATGCTCAGATACACACTTATAAACAGCAGCACCTGTATGACAGTATTTTTCTGCAAAGGTACCTAATGAATCAGTACCTAATAAACTAGAATGTTATGACATCAGTCATGACATTCACACACCTGGTTTTACCAAAAATGCATGCCAATAACTAAACAACTACAAACTCCCCCTTTGGCAGATTTTTGGCTAAAGACCCTAAGCAATCAGAGATAGATAGCAGCAGAATAAATATGACTGCAGAAAAATAGAATGTCTAATAAAGTCTACCAAAATATATCTCCCCCTCTTTAGCCACAAATGGGCCAAAGATACATGTTCTTAAAATTTATACAGTCATCCAGAAAAAGTAACACACCAAGACAAAAAAAACTGAACACACTTTGCAAACTCCACCAGGGACCAGCATCAACTCCACCAATCAGCAACTCCACCAACCTTTAAGCACTGTCATCAGACTCAGAGGAGCTAGTTTCTTCAGTATTGAGATGATTTTCAGCTTCTACACCCTCTTCCCTTTTGTTTCCTTCAGCTTCCTCCTTTTCTAACCTGGCAATTAGGTTTTCTAGGGTCTTTTTCCTAGCTTCCAGCTCTTTGCAGGTCTCTTTCAATACAGCTATAACATCAGATGTTTTGGACTGAGTCTTCACAGAAGATGTCTCAGATGATGTTATGATAATATCAGGAGCATGAGATCCCTGAAACAGCTTGTAGTGTAACCCAAGAGCAGGAGCTCTTTTGCAAGCAGTATCTCTTGCCACCAGGATATCAGGGTATTGTGCAAGGATAATTCCACAAAGGAGGGAGGGAAAGGCAATTGGACCTTTGACAGCATAACTACCAGCATGTTTTAAAGTTTGTTCAAAAATATACCTGCCATAGTCAAAAATAGTCTTGGTTCCCACAACATAAATAAATCTCCCCAATCCTGTGGAGATAGTTGATTTATGGTTTGTAGGGACCCAGTTAGCTGCACCAATCTTGTGCAGGATGGCAAATTTCATGCTAAGTTTGCTGGCATTCAGCTTGCCTTTCAAGGGCCAGCACTTCACTTGTCTTGTTGTGATGGTTTGACAAACTTCATTGTCAGTTACTTCCAGTTCAGGACAATCCTCATTTGATCTTCCAAGAAATTTGTTAATTTCTGATGGAGAGAAATTAACCCTTCTTCCTCTAACATAAACACTTTCAAAGTCAGCTGACCTTCCATCAGCACATTCATTAGACAAGTTAACTATGAACTCCTTGACCAGATTTTCATAACACTTGGTAAATTTTACCACTGTCTTCATCAGTCCAGCATTCTTAATCAGGTCCATGATGTCCTTGCACTCCATGGCATCATTGTTTAGCTCTCTTTCTAAAGCTATTATCTTCAAGCAAACATACTTCCATTTGTTTGCATTGTCAGGATGGTGAAAAGAGATGTTGTCTGTTGGGACTTCAGGAACTCTAGCAATTTTGCTGGAGGGGAGTTTCCTTCTGATAGGAATTTCTTCAGCATCAATCTCAAACTCTGATTCCTCATCAGAATCAGAAGATTCAGGTTCTTTTCTCTTCTTTGTAATTGGTTGTCTACCAGTATACACCTGGGCTTTCACCTTCCCTTTGGACTGACCAGTTTTCATAGATTCTACCCCAACCTTGCCTTCAGCCTTGGATTTCTTCATAGCAGGTTTATCTTTGGTCATACATTTTGCATCATTCTGATTACCCTTTATTTTCATCATTCTCCTAGCTATGCTAGGGTTTACATTGGCAATCAGATCATTATCTGAGTATTCCTTATCCACATCAATGATAGGTGGATCAACAGTCTTTTCTGAAGGGTTCTGAATGTTGTCATTTTGTGTCACAACATTCTCAGAGACATCTACATTCTCAGAGACATTCACATTTGGGCTTGCTGATTCTTGATTTAATGGGACAGAAATCCCCGGTACATATTGGTTTCCGCTTAGTATTCTTGTCACAAGCCTAGCAATTGCTTGATGAACTTGAGCTGATCCTTCCCTATTTGGAACAGAGGAAGAAGGATGAGAAGGATTACCAGAAGCAGTAGCTTGAGCTCTTCCTGCATGCCTAGTTCTCAGCTTTTTGACTTTGGAGGGGTCAGTTGCCATTTCTCTGAGAGGAGTGATCTCCAGGACATCAGAATCTATGCATGTGGTGATTGCTCGAGAATCTTGGTCAGATGATGAAGATGAAGTGGTCGCCTTGGTTGAAGATGATGTTTGAGACATTTTAATTGACTTAGAGCACCAGTAGCAATTTGAGAGAAAACTTTGATTGAGAGAAAGGAATAGGTTGCAAAGACGAGAGAGGTAGGAGGCAAATGAGAGTCTATTCAACTTCTTAATAATTTTGAAAGAATTGGAAAGGCATATGATTAACCTACTAAAAATAGACTCAACACAAATAACTCCTTCAACCCTTGTTTTAAGCAAAATTAATTGCTATAATTTTTCACGTTGGCAAATACCCATCTTGCCCCTCAAGTTTTCAAGTTGATTTCCAACAAGAGCCTTGGTAGAAGAATCAGCTAGCTGAAGCTTGATGACACCATGTTCCAGCTTAATTGTCTTCTTCTCTACAAGGTCAATGTGCTTGGTCCTGCTATGCTGAATAGGGTTCTTGGAAATATTGATTGTATTCAGATTGTCACAATACAATGTCACAACATCTTGTGAGACATTATACTCAGTGAGCATCTGTTTTGTCCAGATATTTTGAGAACAGCTACTACCAGCTGCAACTATTTCAGCACAGAGTTGGGAAGGCATTCTTTTGACATGAATCATAGCTCTGGCAGATTCCTGTATGTTCCTATTTTTCTTTTTGTCAACTCCATTTTGATGATGAGTTATAGGAGAAGAGACTTCATGACTCATTTTTTCTGGGAAACATAATTTATTAAACTTTTTGTTTCCAAATTTTTTGTCATGATTACTTCTGGTTCTGACAACACATCCTTCTTCAAGTTTATTCACCACATCATAGACATGTCTCTTTCTACCAAGCATTTCAATTTGAAGTTCACCACAAACCCTCCTTTTATCAATTTGCAGTCTTGGAATCCTTCTGACTGCTTCCATAGAGATAGTTCTTTTCATTCTTCTTAGATGAAGATGGCCAAGCTTATGGTGCCACAGTTTCATCTCTTTTTCTTCTTTGGTAATGGAACCCATAGTGGAGTTATTAGTGTTCTCAGGCTGCCACAAGTAACAGTTATCTTTAGATCTGATTCCTTTCATTACCACTTCTAGTTTTTCATTAATTACTAGACATTCAAATTTTGAGAAGATGACCTTGAATCCTAGATCACACAATTGACTGATACTAATGAGATTAGCAGTCAGGCCTTTTACCAATAGAACTTCATTTAGACTTGGAACTTCAGGGCAGTCTAAATTACCAACTCCTTTGACTTCACCTTTAGCACCATCTCCAAAGGTCACATAACTAGTGGTGTGAGGTTTAACATGATTGAGAATGTTCTTTATTCCAGTCATGTGCTTAGAGCACCCACTGTCAAAGTACCAGCCTTCCCTTGAAGAGACTCTCAGGGAAGTGTGGGCTATCAGGGCAATAGCCTTTTTCTTACATTGAGGAGTATGTGGTACCCTTTTTGACTTAGGTTTAACACCTGAGTTTTGATTAGGGTATCC